TAAGTTATTTCTTATGTGATTCGATCAACAACTTTTTGGGCTTCTTAACTGCAATGCACTTGGGCAAGCAAAGCAACTACTGTTATTATCACGGCAAAATTAAAAAGTGACATTCAGGAAAATTCGGAGGGACAATATTATAACAGAAAGCCACGCTTATGTTGATAAAATTTTCCAGGTAAATATATAATAAAACAATAAAAGTTAATGTGGTCATTCACAAACAGTAACGCCTTTTTTCATTGTTTAAACTTTTTTTCATGTTGATTATCGAATAACCTGAGCGGGGACAAATATTTTTATATGGAGTAGGTAAAATATATCAAAGAAATACCGTTCGCAAAAGAAAACAAAACGGTTTACAATAATAAAAAAACAGCTTTGTTGGTGGCTTATTATTTGGATCGTTTAATGCTGTTTTTGACTTTTCGTTTCGCCACCATAAAAATATTTAAAAAGGCTCCCTTGACACGTAAAAACTTAACTTAGAAATCAAAAATCTATTATTTTTGCGAGTTTCTGAGTGAAGTTGCTTATTTTTGGGTAACTACATACACGTGCAGCTCATTTACCAGATATACCATTTTCAAGTCAAGTCTTGCATAACCGAGCCATTAGGGCCTTTGTGAATTAAGATAACGATATGTGGTGACAATTGACTCTGCGGAAATACCCTGCAAAAATCGCGACTACTCCATGCATGCGTGTAAAGGGTAATCCCTAAGGACCAAGGAATACTCCAAAATTAACCACAATTCATATAAAAAATATGGTCCAATTAACATTGCGATGTCCATATACTCCATCCCTGCATTACATCAGAGTAGCACAAAACTACTCCAACATATTAACAATGGCATTGTCGTTATATTTTTTCGTTTGTACACGCTTTTGTTCTTCCCCTGCAAAAATCGTTGGACCATGTGGTCTATTTGTGGTATATTGGAGTACTTACAAAAATGCTCCTCTGTCATGCTGTAGCGGACCAACTCGTGTGTCTGCACCATTTTATTGTTACCCCGATCACTGCTCGTGTTTTAACGAAATGTGATTGAAGTTGAGCATTTGAAAGCACATTTGCATGTCTGGCTGTAGCTGAACGTGTAGAGATGCTCGCTGATAGTTGTTAGCTCCCAGCATGTTCGGGTTCGAATACCGAGAGAGGCAACATGTAATTTTTTATTTTTGCTTTTGGTTTTTATTAATTGCAAAAAAGCATCTGTGAAATGCAGAACAAAAGCGTGTACAAACGAAAAAGCATATCAGCAATGTCATTGTTAATATGTTGGAGTAGTTTTGTGCTACTCTGATGTAATGCAGAGATGGAGTATATGGTCCTGCCCTAGGACATCGCAATGTTAATTGGGCCATATTTTTTATATGAATTGTGGTTAATTTTGGAGTAGTCCTTGGCCCTTAGGGAGTACTCTTTACATGCATGCATGGAGTAGCCGCGATTTTTGCAGGGTCACTTCTCAAATGCTTTTTTGAAATTAATAAAAACCAAGACAAAAATTAAAAATTACATGTTGCCTCTGACGGCATTGGAACCCGAACATGCTGGGAGCTAACAACTAAAAGCGAGCATCTCGACACGTTCAGCTACAGCCAGACATGAAAATGTGCTTTCAAATGCTCAACTTCAATCACATTTCGTTAAAACACGAGCAGTGATCGGATAACAAACAATAAGCTGGCGCAGAGACACGAGTTGGTCCGCTACAGCATGAGAGAGGAACACTTTTGTAAGTGCTCCAATTTAACACAAACAAAGTACATGGTCCAACGATTTTTGCAGAGTAAGCCCATAAAGTCAGCAAGAGTTTTTGTTGAATAGAAATTAGGTAGTTAGTAGCCTGCTGAATTCCTTATGGATATATTTATTGCTATTCTATCATATTCTACTATTTTTTTTAATTCATCGTTTTAAAACAGTATTTATATTGCAATGTTATTACACAACTGACCTCGAATTTTGGGGCAAATGGTAAAAGCTATTCACATTCTTTTTCTGGCCGCATAGAAAGGTTCAAAAATACACAACTCAAAAATCAGATCCGAAAATGTAATTGCTTGTGGATCGCAGAGATTCAACTCAGTTAATACAAAAACAGATAAAACAGTAGTTTTCTAGTTGAAGAATATAAACATGAATAAAAAAATATTTGCATTAATTGGAGATAATAAATCTTACGAATTAATTTATGCAAAAAATCGATCTACATTTTTTTTTGTAATTGTGCACCTTTTGAAGAACGTGTGCGATATATAAGTGCTGAGTCAATTAATTCAACAAGCAAGCTTTTCTCTGCAGGGCATGCACATACTATGTACATACATATGTATGTACACAAGCATATGCATAGCTCATTTACTAACAGACTGTCACAAGTCAAAAAATGCGAATTTTCAAAAAACACGTTTAAAGTTTTCAATTGACACTATCCCCGCAGAAAACGAAGATTTGTATATTACAGAATCACACAGAACATACACAAGATTTTAGCATGCAACTTTTACACAATATGATGTAAGATATAGTGATTAATTCATTCAATTCATTATCTTAAAAATACCCTTTTCTGAATTGTGGCAGTCATTCAGTAAACGAGCGATATATTTTAAAAAGGCACTAAACAATCGTGGCCGATAATACCATTTGGAGAGCAATTCTCTCTTTTCCTACTACATACTTACATATGTACATATATAAGGTATATGCAAAATAAAACTAATAAAATTTAAGATAATGTTTATGAGCATAGTGATTTTCTAAAGAGAATCGAAAAATATTCGTGTGATTACATGAAACACACTTCATTCAGCATACGTACATTTGTTTGTATAGTACATTAGTAGACAACAAAGGTTTGAAAAAATATTCCTGTAATCTTCAAGCGAACAGTTGTAGAAGAGCACGCAAGTGGGCCGGACTTATAGGAAATAAGCATTTCTTTTGTATGTGCAACGAAACATAATTTAATCATTTTAAGTAGTTTAATAAATCATAGAAGATCTTGAGCTGATAAAAACAAGAGTTCACAATGATTGCGAAACGGATCCTATCAACACTACGGCAAACACCCCAGCTCTACACCGCGACTGTTAACACCAAAAAATTCGCAACCACACTAGAGCCACCAAAGTTCGATTGGCAAGATCCACTCAATTTGGAATCGCAACTAACCGAAGATGAGATCGCTATGCGTGACGCATTTCGTAGTTACTGCCAAGCAAGCTTGTTGCCGCGCATCACGGACGCCAATCGCAATGAGGTGTTCCACAAGGAAATTATGGAGGAAATTGGCAGCTTTGGTGCTTTGGGTTGCACTCTAAACGGCTATGGGTGTGCAGGTGTGTCAAATGTCGCTTATGGTTTATTGGCCAGAGAGATAGAACGTGTAGATTCAGCTTATCGCTCTGCCTTGAGCGTGCAAAGTTCTCTGGCGATGGGAGCTATTTTTGATTATGGCTCTGCTGTGCAAAAGGAAACCTATCTGCCTCGTATGGCTCAGGGCAAAATAATTGGTAAGTAGCAAACGATTTTTATTTTTTAATAAATGTGTGCAGAGGGATATTATAGTTGTTCTTTTGTAAACTGATATTTAAAAATTTCTGATAAGAAACTTCGGCGGATGTAGATTAAGATTATTGTTTAGAGTGTACACAAGAAGACTTAGATCGCTAAAAATAACATAGCACTGGCGCACATGTGTACGCCATTGGCAGCTTAACTGCTTCAATATCATGTTGTGCTTCTTAACGTTATCCTAAAAATGGAGGTGTCAGAGATTTTAGGTCGCTTTTTATGAGAAGTACTTTCATGGCAGCAATGCAAGATTAGATTGCATTTTGAAAGTAGCTTCTGATTTCACAAAAACTAAAATATCTGCATTTGTTTTCGTTTACAGGAGCATTTGGTTTAACCGAACCAAATCACGGTAGTGATCCGGCCGGTATGGAAACCCGTGCGAAATATGATAGTGCCAGCAAATCATACATTCTGAATGGTTCCAAAACGTGGATCACAAATTCGCCGATAGCAGATGTTATCATTGTCTGGGCCAAGGGGGAAGATGGCAAAGTGCGTGGTTTCATAGTGGATCGGTCACAATCTGGCAAGGGCTTATCTACACCCAAAATCGAAGGTAAATTCTCTTTGCGTGCCTCTACCACTGGCATGATCTTGATGGACGACTTACGTGTGCCAGAAGGAAATCTTTTACCAAATGTGGAGGGTTTTAAGGGGCCCTTCGGTTGCTTGAACAATGCACGCTATGGCATTGCATGGGGTGCTCTAGGAGCAGCCGAGGCATGCTTGGGAATAGCGCGGCAGTATACGTTGGATCGGAAGCAGTTTAAACGGCCGTTAGCCGCTAATCAATTGATACAAAAGAAATTTGCAGATGCGCTGACAGATATTGCGTTAGGTTTGCAAGCATGCTTGCAGGTAGGTCGTCTGAAAGATCGGAAACTGCACACTCCTGAAATGATTTCACTCATAAAACGAAATAATTCGGGTAAAGCGCTAGATATTGCTCGGAGTATGCGTGATGTTTTGGGCGGAAATGGAGTGTCCGATGAATACCATGTTATACGGCATTGCATGAATTTGGAAGCGGTTAACACGTATGAAGGCACTCACGACATCCATGCGCTTATTCTTGGACGCGCTATTACAGGCATAGCAGCGTTTGCCAATTGAAATACATAATAATTGAAATACATGTTATACATATTGTGCTGATGGTTGAGTTAGAATATTTTCCGAAAGCTGTTGTGTTGGTATTTAAATGCATTTATTTATACGGTCGTGTATTTTATAAAATAAGAGGAAAGACAGTAATATTAAGAAAAATAATTAGAGCAATTAATAAAATTAGAACCATAGGGTACAACATGTTTTAGAAATTTTTTTTTATCACATGAGATATTTTATAGGGATTCTTATGTATTGAACCGAATGCCTAGTTTTTATGATAAATGCCTTATGTACTCACCTCAGCTTCATATTGCTCTGCCCGCCGCACAGCATGTCCCAGTTCTGTATTAGTTTCAGCTAAAAGCTTTTTTAATTTGGAATGTGATAGTTTTATTTCACCTATTTCTTTATTTCGTTCCGATAGCTCTTGTTGAAGCGCACGCACTTCAACATCATTTGCCTGCATTGGACGCCCCTTGCGATCGGAACGCTCTTGGTAGTCGCGAACTTCAGCGCGTAATTTTTTGTTGTCGCGTTCCAATGCAAGTTTTTCGGTTTCGAGCCGTTCGCGTTTACCCCATTCAGAAGCATTTTCGGCTTGTAGCCGTTCCAACTGCGCAACAAATATTCAAAATTAGTTTATTTTAACGATATTTTAGTTATTCTTCCAAAAATATACCTCTGTACGGAGCTCAGCCAAGCGTCTTTCAAGATTTTCGCGGGACGCAGTTTCTTCTTGCAACGAATTATTTATTATACGCATTTCGGCACGGTGTTGTTCCTGTAATGTGAGTAATTCACGTACAGCTTCCTGCAAAACGATTGGGCTATTTAATTAAGGAATTTAATTTAATTTAATTAGTCATCACCTGCTTAGCAAGACGCATCTCTTCTTGACGTTCACGTACTTCCTGTAGTTCTAATGTTAACTTTTCGATTGTCTTATGTAAAATATTTTTTTCTCTGCAAATTTAAATAATGATTAAAAGTTAAGGATAACAAATAATATAAATCAATGCATAAGGTCCTATACGACACTTTTTGAAAATGTGTTTCTACATATTCTCTTTATTTTATCCCAAGTACACCCCCATACTAAAATGCATAGCTTAAGCATCTTTAAAACTGCCCTGTAGGGCTTCTATGTTAATTTCAAAAGTTATTTGCTTATGTAGCTTTAAAACAAACTCACTCTCTTTCTGCTTGCACCGTTTTCTGCGCTTCATCTAAACGTAATTGAAGCATCGAGATTTTTTGCAGTAAATAATCTTCATCGAAATCGTCTTTAGATAGCTGCTGAATCAGACGTTTTTCTTCGGCCAATACATCATCTAAATCGTTACCTTAGTAGATATACAATATTAAAGATTTTCATTTAAATACTCCACAAAAACCTACCCATGTCAGGAACACTTTTCGGTACGGCGCCTTTCAGCACATATTCCTCAATATCCAAATCTTTCATATCATTGCAAATGGCCTTGGTAACCTTAAATAATAAACACATATACATACATATATACTTAAGTAAAATTATTTGAATATAGTATACATAAGTATATTCAAAATTACCAATCCATCTTCGCTGTTTACATTTTTTAAACCATCAGACGAAATATCTGGCGAGCAGTTAGCATCACGTCCATTCGCCTCAGCATCTTCAGAAACATCGCACATACTAAAATGGAAACATGCATTTTAAATAAATATGGGCATAGGTACATTTGTATATATGTACATACTTATGTATGTTAATGTACACAATATTTAAAAAAAAAAACATTCGAATTTTATTTTTCTTACCCTGCTTTATGAAATTGATCGGCGTGCTTCATCATAAGTGTATGAACCTTTTCCATTTCCTTTTTAAGTTGGGAGATCTGCATCTCGAGATCATTTTTCTCTCGCTTGTATGAATTCGCTTCCTTCATAGACATATCAAGGTTGGCGCGCAACTGTTTGGCTTCTTCTCGAGCTTTATTACGTTCGGTGCGTACCTGTATCGAAGAGTCTCATATTATTTGCACTGTACAAATTTTATATCGATTAAACAAATATTTGTTTATAAACGACGAAACGTGGCTATGGTAAGCGGTAAAGTATTTGCAAACCTCGTACAGGAAACCTACCTTACTCCATTTTTCGCGCCAATTGGCTGTGCAATCTGACCACCATTTCATAGTCTTTTCCATTTGGGCAGCTCGGGCCCTTGCTTCGTCCAGCTCGCGTTGCCTTTGAGCCTGAAAGGATTAACATATGAACATGTGAATAGAACTGGAATGCATGCATAGCTAAAATACACAATAGCTCTTTACCTCGCGCGCTTCCCATTCTGTAGCATCGCCGAATCTTGGAGTTTCTGCGGCCCCACTTCGACGTGGTATTGGAGCAACACTTTGTGACATTTGTGAATTAACCAGTCCTCAGCCTAGTCCGGTTGGAGGTCAGAATAAGGTATGTTCTTATTTGCAACACAAAAACTATTTTTGGAGTACTTTTAACAAAATAAGCACAATTTTTTACAGTCCCGCAATCCTTAGTTTTTGCAAAACTATCGTATTTGTTTTCGTTTGACTTTCGTAGTTTTCTTGTGGAGTATTGTGACGGTTTCTCATTGCACGATTATTCGTAGCTGTTATCTTTATTCTGTTTTGCTGCGTTTTCTAAATTTTTTGCATTGCCTCTCATGGCATTTTAAATTATTGTGCTGCCATGTTGGCACAATATACTTTTATCGAAATCTTTTCGTGCCTAAATATTCATAAATTAATAAAATCATTAAATAACGAAGCAAACATTGGTTCGTCAGATTCGCTCCAATATGCGATTCGTTTACCTTTAAAATTTCAGTATAGCAGTTAGTCAAACTATTTACCCTCAAATAGCAGGCAAGATGTTCAATTTTACGAATGAACAAATTGAAATTGGGTTCTTTAGGGTTTTCCCAAGGGAATGAGCAGTTTCACCTTTGATTTTAAGGAGAACTAATTTAAAAAGTACTTGCACGTCTTATTGCGCCCAAATTCACAAATAGAATACTTGTATTACTGCATTACGATGGCAGCACGATTGGCAGTTACACTTCAGTGGCAAAAATGGCGCATTTCCTCCTTTTGACATTACGACGTCAACGTGCTTCGATCTTTTTCCGCTTTGAGCTCTGAAGATGGCAGTCGGTAAAAATAAGGGTCTCTCCAAAGGAGGTAAAAAAGGTGGCAAGAAGAAGGTTGTGGATCCCTTTTCGCGCAAAGATTGGTATGATGTAAAAGCGCCAAACATGTTCGTGACCCGCCAGATCGGTAAAACTCTAGTAAACCGCACCCAAGGCCAGAAAATCGCCTCTGACTACTTGAAGGGTCGTGTATTCGAAGTATCGCTGGCCGATTTGCAGAGCGACAACGATTCTGATCGCTCGTTCCGCAAGTTCCGCTTGATTGCTGAGGATGTTCAGGACCGCAATGTGCTCTGCAACTTCCACGGTATGGATTTGACCACGGATAAGTACAGGTGAGAAATTAAATGCATTTAAAGTGGCTATTGATTATTTCCAAAGTGAAGAAGCGAGATGTGTTTGTATGTGCATATGTTCATACATCTCAAAGAATCGCTATAAAGATTGAGGTTAAATATTTTATTTTTTACGGACGTATAATTCAGACGAAACATCGCACAAATTTGTGTTTTGTCTCTACGATGCTCCAAGAACAAAATTAACTGCAAACGGCACCCTGAGGAACTGCTCTCTACGTTCCCATTTAGGGATTAGTTTGTAGACATTTTCAGTAATAAGCCCAAAAGGTGGTATTTTTTTTTATCTCGCCTATTGCGAGTGTTGACTAGTAGTAGATAAACGACTAATATTGAATAATCGCTTTTCCACTGTGTTGTGGATGTTCCCCTTCAATAAGCGACAATAGTATTAAGTCGCTCATTCTTCTACAACTGGTTGTTGGTACACTCATTTATAGAACGAGAAAACGACATTGAAAATACCATGGATAATGGACTAAAGAATCGGTTATCTACTACTTGTTGACTCTCGCAGTAGGGGTATTTGTATTCATTTTGTGCATATGTAAAGGTACAGGCAACCATCAGTACTTTTATACTTTTTAAAATTAAATCTCATTTTGTTTATTATTTTAGGTCCATGGTCAAGAAATGGCAAACCCTCATCGAAGCGATCGTTGAGGCAAAGACCACTGACGGTTACATGTTACGTGTCTTCTGCATTGGCTTCACCGCCAAGGACCAGCAATCACAACGTAAAACTTGCTATGCTCAACAATCGCAAGTGCGTAATATCCGCTCCAAGATGACTGAAATCATCAGCAACGATGTAACCAGCTCAGACTTAAAGCAGCTGGTAAACAAGCTTGCTCTCGACTCCATTGCTAAGGATATAGAGAAGAAATGCCAGCGGATCTACCCATTGCACGATGTTTACATACGTAAAGTTAAGGTCTTGAAAAAGCCACGATTTGATCTGTCCAAATTGTTGGAATTGCATGGTGATGGTGGTGGCAAAGGCACTGAAGCTGTCGTATCGGCAGAGGGTGCTGTTGTAGAAAGACCCGAGGGATACGAACCACCTGTACAGGAGTCTGTTTAAACAAATATTGAATTCAACAACATTCATTTTTTTTAATGTAGAAGATACAAAGGAAAGAAAACATGAACAAAACTCGCGGATGGGAGTTTTGCATAAAAAATAATATTGGCTTATATTTATTTGCTTATGTTGCAGTGATGGAAGGGAAGGCGTTTCGTATATTCTTTTATCTTTTTCAGTTGCAGTCTACTACCCTACGCAGAGAGAACTGGATGAAATCATAATTGAGTTGCAAAGGTAAAATCAATTTTCTTTATTCCTATGTATATGAAACAGATTTTCAAGTTTGTGCTAAATTAAATGATGTTCTCATTATTTTTCGTCGCTGATTTTGATAAACTGATGTCAAATGCTTGCTGATATAGCGCAAACTAGAAATAAATGCATTGTTCTGGTACAGTTAGTAATTGTTACTTCTTCTTTGTAGTGACTCTTGGGTTCTCGTTTGGTTATGCTGTGTTAAAAATTAAGGTGAATAATATTTAAAAATATGTGATGCTTTGTTTTTCTTGTGAAACTCGTGATGTACATCTTTTATTATTTGCTACTCTTGAAAGCACTTTGATGACATTAAATTCTGATTCGGTTCCACAAGAAATACAATGGAAATGGCATTATAAATACTTTAATCATCTATACTTATAATTTTGTTTTTATTTTTCACAGATGATAGGATTTGTTGACAACTCATTTCGGTATTTAACTAAGCCTGTGGAAGTTTTCAAGGTTTGTATTAATATATTATTTTGCAGATTTTCCTTATATTTCCTCATGATGTATTCGAATTATTTGCTACTCTTGAAAAAACATTGATGTAAACTAAACTCTGATAAAAAAAAGCGTGAACTGCATTTACTTTTAAAAGCTGAAAGAATACTGAAGTATTTCATTTGTTTACAGATAACAATGACATCGGGATAAATAGGAATTAGAGTCTGATAATGACCATATGGCGATAGGTAAGCAAGTGTCAAAACCTCTAACAATTACCAATATTTGATGATAACTTTTCTGTAACTTGAATCTACATATGTATATGTGAGTTTTACAAAATTAGATAGTAGAACTGATTTCAAGTGTATGTAATATATTTATGGTTTCCCAATACATTAGTATTATTTATGCTTTTCTTTTGTTTGCAGCTTTGGATAAATTAATATGATGTCACCATGCTACTGGATGTTTTTTAAGGTAAGTGACTTATTTTATGCTAAATATTTATACTTATACTTTGACCCAGCTCGCTTTGATGTATAGTGAAGATAAATGTCCCAATAACCAACGCAAATTTAAATTTCTGAAATAGTCCCTATTTCCTCTCAGACATAATACTAATCCCTTACGTTTTGTAATGTTAATAATGTCTATCGTCGTTTAAAGTACAAAACCGCGTATCAACAAAATGCAAAACCGCGTATATGAGGTTGCATAAATTATTTTTTAGAGAGTAAAAACACTCGTATTTCAAAATGGTTCTCTTTTTTTTATAAAGCAATCGCATTTCTGGCTAGTATATTTCAGGTCGAATGAATAAGGATTGAGCCAAGAGCTTGTGTGAGCAAATCTAATTTTTGGCAGCCAATGTCAGTTACGCGGTTTTGCAGAATGACGATACGTGGTTTTGTACTTTAAACGACGATATAATCTTGAAAAATATGAATAGAAAATAAAGCATCGCATAAATGCTATGTACATATGTATGATTGTATAATATCATGCGGCATACAAGAAATTAAATACCATGCTTATTTGTTGCAGATTAGTGGATGCAAATTTGACAACAGGCTATGGAAATGAAGGTGAGTGAATATAATTTTTTTTTTCACTTTTCATAAATTTAATTCTATGATGAAACTTTTACCCAGCTCGCTTCGATATACCATGAAGAGAACTTGTTCCATTATCCAACGCAAAATAATTTGCTGATGAATTAAACAAGTTTCATTATTGCTAAACTATATAAATCTAAACCATAATTTTAATGCATACATATTTCTGTTCTTTTTTTTTAGATTTCTACAAAGTGAGGTCACTGCGGAATTTTAGAAGTAAGTAGATATTAATTTTTTAACTGCATATCGTCGTTTAAAGCACAAAACCGCGTAACTGACATTGGCTACCAAAAATTGGATTTGCTCACACAAGCTCTTGGCTCAATCCTTATCAATTCGTCCTGAAATATACTATCCAGATATGCGATTTCTTTATAAAAAAGAGAACCATTTTGAAATATGAGTGTTTTTACCCTCTAAAAAAAAAAATAATTTATGCAACCTCATATACGTGGTTTTGCATTTTGCTGATACGCGGTTTTGCATTTTGCTGATACGCGGTTTTGCATTTTGTTGATACGCGGTTTCGCACTTTAAACGACGATATGTATGTGTGTATGTAACACGTTTTTAATGATGATATATTTTCGGATTCCCCATCATTTGACTGTTAAATGACACTAAATCCAAACTGATTAAAAATCGGATTTAATTTTTAATATAATGCGGCATACACGAAATTAAATATCATGCTTTTTTGTTGCAGATTAGTGGATGCAAATTTGACAAAAGGGTATAAAAATGAAGGTGAATATATATATATTTTTTTTAACTGTTCATAAATGTAATTCTATGATGAAAACTTTTACCCAGCTCGCTTTGATATACCATGAAGAGAACTTGTTCCATTATCCAACGCAAAATAATTTGCTGATGAATTAAACAAGTTTCATTATTGGTAAACTATAAATCTTAACCATAATTTTAACGCATCCGTATGTTTTTTTTTTTTTTTTTAGATTTCTACAATGTGAGGTCACTGCGGAATTTCAGAAGTATATTTTCGGATTCCCCATCATTTGACTGTTAAATGACACTAAATCCAAACTGATTGAAAATCGGATTTAGTTTTTAATATAATGCGGCATACACGAAATTAAATATCATGCTTTTCTGTTGCAGATTAGTGGATGCAAATTCGACAAAAGGGTATAAAAATGAAGGTGAATATATATATATTTTTTTTAACTGTTCATAAATGTAATTCTATGATGAAAACTTTTACCCAGCTCGCTTTGATATACCATGAAGAGAACTTGTTCCATTATCCAACGCAAAATAATTTGCTGATGAATTAAACAAGTTTCATTATTGGTAAACTATAAATCTTAACCATAATTTTAACGCATCCGTATGTTTTTTTTTTTTTTTTTAGATTTCTACAATGTGAGGTCACTGCGGAATTTCAGAAGTATATTTTCGGATTCCCCATCATTTGACTGTTAAATGACACTAAATCCAAACTGATTGAAAATCGGATTTAGTTTTTAATATAATGCGGCATACACGAAATTAAATATCATGCTTTTCTGTTGCAGATTAGTGGATGCAAATTCGACAAAAGGGTATAAAAATGAAGGTGAATATATATATATTTTTTTTAACTGTTCATAAATGTAATTCTATGATGAAAACTTTTACCCAGCTCGCTTTGATATACCATGAAGAGAACTTGTTCCATTATCCAACGCAAAATAATTTGCTGATGAATTAAACAAGTTTCATTATTGCTAAACTGTATAAATCTTAACCATAATTTTAACGCATCCGTTTTTTTTTTTTTTTTTTTAGATTTCTACAGTGAGGTCACTGCCGAATTTCAGAAAAGTAAGTAGATATTAATTTTTAACTGCATATGTATGCGTGTATTTAACACGTTTTAATGATGATATATTTTCGGATTCCCCATCATTTGACTGTTAAATGACACTAAATCCAAACTGATTTGACTTCAAAATTAAAATTTGCAATGTAATACTGGAATTAACTACATAAAAGTCTTTCTTTTCAGACTGATTTTCTAATCGTTAGCAGAGAAGCTACTACATATATGCATTTATGAGGCGTCTCAGGTCAAGAGTTCTCACTGGAAAAACATCCAAAAAAATTATTGTACAGAAAATTTAAAGGTAATTTATAAAAAAAACAGTGGGCATACATATGTATGAATATATATGCTTATAATGCGTAACTAGAGCGAGATAAATGTTATCGGCCATAATCACGGCTTTCACTGAACCCATCCTAGTCCGAATTTACGAAAATGCTATCACTGAATTCGAATAGCTGCAAACGAAGGAAATACTTTGAATGCATACATACGTTCGTATAAATTCGGATTCAGTGATCGCATTTTCATAGATTTTACAAAATTGTCTACGATGGATTCAGCGATAGCCCAGAATAACTAAAATGCCGCGATCATCAACATTTATCCGGTTTTTAGTGAAAATTTTAAGCATGTAAAATATTTTATATTCTGATGAAACTTTGACCCAGCTCGCTTCGATATACCATGAAGAGAACATGTCCCATTATCCAACGCAATTAATTTTTCTGACCGTTTTTTTGTTCACGATTTATTTCTATAAATAGATAAATAGTTATACGATTTTTAATATATATATTTTTTTCAGGTTTGTATATTTCAGGTCGACATTTTGTTAACCACGACAACGCTATATTTACAACAAAATTTATCAACAGATGCTTTGAAATAAAAAGGAATAAACAAATAAAATCTGTAAAAAAGGAAAGCCATAAATAAAGCAAATTTAGAAATTTTATTATGGGGCATTTTTTAATACCAGTAGCTAAAGAAATAGGATTAGGAGTTTTAAAATATTTATTTTCTCATATCAAATAACGAACGATGACATTCTAAGAAAGTATGGTTACATGAAAACAATAGGGCTGTTCATTATGTCGTGGAAATGGTCTTGGATTTGCAGTTGGAATTGCATTTGCAAATTTTTTGCTTGCTGCCATTTCAACCGTGTGCATTTTATTGTTGTGAATTTACAAATACAACGAATATGCAAATCCAAAAGCATATGCACAAGATCCTGAAAAGTCCTATTGATATTAATTGCTTCGTTGCCTTGTAAGATCCTGCGATAATGCAGCGAATCTTTTTTGGCGATCCGATTCCATCTGTTTAGCCAACTCCCACGCATCCTTGTCAAGCACATTTTTACCACGTGCAACGGCCAATAAACGTGCTAGCACTAGTAAATGATGAAGTTCTTCAGCATCGCGAATACTTTTGCTCTTACGCATTTCCACAAAATCATTTTGAATCATTTCACTCTCAGCTTCATTTACACTGAATTCTGTGAGCTTAGCTGTTGTGAGAAAGCGTCTAAATTGATTTAGACGTGTTGGGTTCAAGTAATGGTGCGCAGCCTTTAGCGACTCTTCTATAAGTTCAACAGTGTGCTCGTCATACTCGATGGGAACATAGGCGTCGTACTGCGGTGGAAGAATATTAAACCACATTTTATACATAGCCTGGTTTCAACAACGAACACTTACTGGTAGTACACTTTTCTTCTCGCTAAAACACAATATTGGTATGTCTACATCATATTCAATTTCATAGTACTGGAAATTGCATTTTAGCTGTTGATGCTTCATTACATGTCCCAGGATCTGCATAGACAATAGACCATTGCTGTTTAAGGTATCAGATTTAGTAAAGGTTTCGTCTATAACTAGGTGAGTTTGTGGTGCCAACTGAAGCATGCCAGAGACTAATTTGTTGGTTTCATAATCTTTCCTATTGGTAAAATCAAATCAGCAATGTTTTATTTCAAAAATGTTTACGTACTTTGGTCCAAAAGTTGAATCGTTCAATGTCTCTGCGGTCATTGTGATATAGTGGCTGGCGGGAATTAGCAAATCCAATAGGTTATACACTTCTTTTGTATATTGTTGTAAGCGACTCTGGGGTATATTGAAAAGATTTAGAAGAAACCTCCCAAGACATCGAGTTTCTGCTCGGCAATATCTGCGACAATAGGAGTAAATACAAATATTTATGTATAGTTATAGAAAAACGGAAAATTACAAAGGCTACTTACACTGATGATATAAGGTGTGATAGCAGATACTCTGCAGCCAAATTATCATTGAACAAACACAGTTTTAAAAATACGCGAAACTCATTTCCTGTTGATAACATGTTAAATTCCTCAGTTAACTCCAAGTTAACACTTTCTGCCACAGGAGATAGCAGCCTTTCATCCATCAAAGGGTTAGCATGTGGAAGACAATGAACTGCTATTGCATGAAGACGTGGTATCAGTGAAGGCGGTGGGTTTTGTGCCTGGATCTCATTAATGTTGTCGAAGGCATCAACATCCATCGTTGATGCGTCTAGTGCGGGATTTACAGACAGAAAACCCACCACATCAACAATTGTATTCAATTTATATTTTTCAAAGTCATTATAAATTTTAATTAAGCAAGCTTTGCTAGGACGATTTGGTATTGGCGAGTTTAAATGATATTCCATACCAATAACTGCGCTTGAGCGGTGATCAGAGCAGTTACGTCCGGAATCAGCACTACCTAGTACCTCTGTTCGTTTTCGCTTATGAGCATCACAATCGGGACTCTGTCCGCCAGCAGATTCTATTTCAACATCCATACATTCGTCTTCTGTCGGCGCTGAACGCTTCTTTGCACCCTCGCCGGCCATTTCTGTTATCATTGGCTTAGGCAAATTGTAACGGCTGCATTGAGATTCATATTCATGACACCATTCGTTTAAACCAGGAATAGATATAACAAAGAAAGCACGGCGTTCACCATGAACATTCGTCTCCGCATCGTGATTTAAACGTTCCCCATCATTTAATAACAAACAATCCCGATATTTTCCTTCTTGAACTCTGGAGGTGTTATCCGCTTCCTTTGTAACTTCATATCGCTCCAAGTACATTTCGGGGTCTAGCATATCTTGAATCATGCCTCGGAATCTCACAATGCTCATATCCTTCAGCTCGTGCAAAGGAGTATAGTTCAGCAAAGGAATTCCAGTCCACCGCTTTGGATCTTCCAACGATGTGACAAAAGCAGTTCCAGCTTTACTTGCCAGTTGCTCTGGTAAGAAATTCGCACTCAAGGCAGGCATTTTCGCTATTTAAAATTATAAAAACCAAATTTTATACAGTGGGCAAATTCGCAAACCGGTAACAACTTGGTAACAAAAAAAAAAGTAGGCAGTGTCTACACACACGCGCCACGGTAAATTTTACCGTGTATCCACGGTAAAAAATACCGTGGATCTACGGTAAAATTACCGTGGATCTACGGTAATTTTTACCGTGTATCTACGGTAATTTTACCGTGTATCCACGGTAAAAAATACCGTGGATCTACGGTAAAATTACCGTGGATCCACGGTAAAAATTGGATCTACGGTAAAATTACCGTGTATCTACGGTAAAATTACCGTGGATCTACGGTAAATTACCGTGGATCCACGGTAAAAATTGTCGTGGATCTACGGTAAAAAATACCGTGGATCTACGGTAAAAATTACCGTCGATCCACGGTGTATTTACCGCGAATCCGCGGAAAAAAATTACCGTGGATGCACAGTGATTTTCGAAGCGTGCGAATAACTGTATTTTTTAACAGTAGATCTACGACAAAAATTAGTGTGGCCCCGAGGTTATCTATTTTTCCAACGTGAATGAACAATCCTAATTTCTCATATAGATGTATCACGATAGATG